AAATAAAATCTTTAGGAAAAAAACACACAACCAGTATTTCATTGCCATTTAAATATACATTTCCATGATTACAAATGATTTTGAGTATCTTTTTATGTCTGTTGGGCATTCAGTTTCTCTCTTCTTTGAAGTGCTTATTTTGCTAATTTTTCTATTTAGTTGCTTGTCTTTTCCTCACTGATTTGGGAGTAATTCTTTATATTTTATGTAATAATCCTCTGTCAAGTAAATGTGTTGCACATATCTACTCCCAGTTTTGCTTAGTGACTTAACATTTTATGGTGTCTTAAGATAAACAAAAGGTAATAATTTAAGTAAAGCTAGGTTCATTTTCTATGGTTTGTATTTTTACATCCTAAGAAATCAGTTGCTTCTTCAAGCTCAAAAACGATCCTCCCATATTTTCTTCTGTGAATGGACAGTTGGGTTGTTTTCCATCTGGGCTCTTGGGAGCACTAGGTGTCATCAGCATTCAGAGGCTCCTCCAGATGCTTGACATACAGCCAACAGTGGACCTGAGAGACTGCGGGGCAGGCCCGTCTTCAACTTCACTGGGTAGTAACTTATAAAGAAAAAGTTCTACAGCTTTGCATTTCACATTTATATCTTTAATATATTTAGAATGGAGGGATCCAATTTCATTTTCTCCCAAATGGATAATCAATTTTTTCTTTTCTCCACTGAGCAGGAATAGCCCTGTCATATCAAGTTTCCATGGATCTGTGGGATCCCTATTCTAGTCCAATGGTTTGTCTATCTCTGCTCTCATACCACCCTGTCCTACACACTGTGGCTTAATAAGGTTCAGTGTCTGAGGTGAGAATAAGCAAGTTTTCTCACCTCTTTTTTTTAAATGTTTTTGCAAGTCTGACCCTTTGCTCATATATATATTAGATGGCTGTTACACGGCATGAAACCTCTATCAGTAAATTCAATAGGATTGGAAACTGGCACACACGATACTGAGCCTTTCGGATACGCCCCTTTCCTTTCATCCCTACTGCTGTGCCCCCAGCCACACCACGACCACTAATCTAGCCCATGACAGGACGCGGCCTCCTTGCCTCTAGCACTCCAGGTTATTGGCCACATTGTGGGCAGAGAAATCTTGCTAAAATGTAATTCAAGTCACCTTCTATTTATCATCCGTTAGTGCTTCCCAGTGTCTTCCGGATGAAGACTACACTTCTTACCTGGGTTTGTCCTCATGAATCGGCTTCCGTTCTTCTGCAGCCCCATCTCCGGCCACCTTTCCCACCTACAGTGCCCTGCGTTCCTTCGTACTGCAGTCACTCTGAGTTCACTTTTGGTTCCTTACGTTAACTATGAGAGAAGATGTTTCAGATAGGAAAACAGCAATTTGGAAAATTTGCCCTCCTAAAGATGTAAAAGAGATTTCAGTCAGAAATTAGTGTTTACTAAGATAAAGCACATTATAAGCATAATCACACTCTTAAAAGTCATACAGTCCAAATGGCCTCATGCTCTTTCCCTTTTTATATTTTTTAATGAACCAAGGCTTAATTAATTAAAACCATAATTGTATCAATCAATAACAATAAATTGACTGTAAATTCAACTTAACACAAGTATATCAGAATACAAAGCACATAGTATGTTCTTTGAACCAGTAAATATATGTTTTATTTCCTCATCATGATTTCTAATTCTAGGGGCATCTGGGTGGCTCAGTCGGTTGAGCGTCTGACTCGGTTTTGGCTCAGGTCATGGTCTCAGGGTCCATGAGATCAAGCCCCACGACAGGCTCTGCGCTCAGCTCGGACTCTGCTTAAGACTCTCTCCCTCCTCCCCACCAGGCCCTCCCCACTGCTCATTCACTCTCAAGTAAATAAGCAACAAAGGTGTTATGTGTAATGATGTGTATAATTAAAAATATGTACTATCTAATTCTATAGTTTTTGGAACATTCACAATAATGTATCTTGGTGAACACCAGAAAAGACATCCTGCAAGTTATTATTTAGGAGAGCCCCGTGGGCATAAAGTTGAGCAGGCCACTTGGCCGTCACCTGCACATGCCTCTAACCTACTTCCCCCAAACTCAGCCCTATTCATGACAATAATCCTTGCTAAGAGGCCGGCGTTCATCTAAAGAGGTCAACGTACACACACATGAAGTGTAAATTGGTAACATGCTCTCTGATTAAACCCTGGAATTCTTTTTTTTTTTTAAGATTTTATTTATTTGACAGAGAGAGACACAGCGAGAGAGGGAACACAAGCAGGGGGAGTGGGAGAGGGAGAAGCAGGCTTCCCGCTGAGCAGGGAGCCCAATGCAGGGCTTGACCCCAGGACCCTAGGATCATGACCTGAGCCGAAGGCAGACGCTCAACGACTGAGCCACCCAGGCGCCCTGAATTCTAGCTTTCTTATGGGGAACAGGTGAGATTTTCTCAGGACATTTGCCCACAAATGTGTGTATAGAAAAATAATTTACCTTCAGCTCCCAGCAGCTATAAACGTCAGCAGCCTTAGTTGGCGATCTCTCCTGGCTGGAGGACCATTTTCCCGCGTGGGACACTAGCTGAGGGCTCAGACTTACACTCCTTCGTGTCAACTGACCCACAGGGAACTTGCATATCTCTGTCCCAAACTGTGGGACCGTGGGCCGATCTACTGCAGGTCTAAACAGCTCTCCCCAACTTCTTTTTCCTGCTTGGGGAGCCACAGAGCCCGTGAGCACATCCCCTGCCTAGACTAACACCCGGTCTGGAAGTGAAACGCAAGTCTCCTCTTCCTGAAGGCGTCACAAGCGACTTGTTACACTGGAAGGCGTGTCTGTGTGCTGTGCTGTGTGAAGGGCAGGAGGCTTCTGGGTCTAGCATGCCAACAGTTCTTCAGAATAGGGGGTACTTACTCTGAAACAAATAATGCAATATATGTTAAGAAAAAAAAGAAGAAGAAGGTAGTGGGAGGGGAAGAATGAAGGGGGGGAAATCGGAGGGGGAGACGAACCATGAGAGACAGTGGACTCTGAAAAACAAACTGAGGGTTCTAGAGGGGAGGGGGGTGGGAGGATGGGTTAGCCTGGTGATGGGTATTGAGGAGGGCACATTCCGCATGGAGCACTGGGTGTTATGCACAAACAATGAATCATGGAACACTTCATCTAAAACTAATGATGTAATGTATGGGGATTAACATAAGAATAAAAAAAAAAGTATTTTCTCATGATACATGGTACTAATGTATCGCAGCTTAGCAACATTATAAAACTCAGAAAACAGGACATAATAAAAATTAATTTCTATTATAAAAAAAAAAAGAATAGGGGGTACTTAGCATCTCCTTGACCCATCTTTGGCCCCTCTGTAATTGCCATTCTTTGAGTAAAAGGAAAAGTTCAACACAACATCCTGGTATACATAAATAGCTATAAATACAACTTAAAAACAACACATACATAAAATAAATGGGACCAAACACAATAGTCATTATGTGCACACAAGAGAATATGCAGTTACCTCTGTGGTGTATGCATACATCACGTATACACACATGTGAACTCACTGCCAAACTAGGAGAAAATAGGGAGAAAAAGATCATCTGATTTACAGAATCACTACTCATCAAATTCATGTTTTCATGTAAACTATAGCTCAATAAAGCTGTTGAATAAAAAAATGTACAGTAAGACAATAAAACACGGGGAGGAAGAAACGGAGGAAAGACAAATATTCCTAAAAAAAAAAAAAAAAAGGTAGAGGGAAAGCAATTCAGCCTCCTAGTACTGAGTCATTTGCAGGAAAAATAGGCAGGCATCTAATGCAAATATCTGAGAAGGCCAAAAATCACACCAAAAATTTTGTCCAGATGATTCTAATTCTGTTCTCAGATATCCAATACTTTGTATTTATTAGAGAGAAAATATGGGAATTCAGTTCTCTTTTAAAATGTACTCTTTATGTCCCTCAGTTTATTTTCTCCCAGACACTTCAGGCATTTATAGAAATAAGTATAAAATCACCATACATACATTGCTTTTTAAAATTGAAAATTGGAAGCACAGTATTCAATCAACAAATGGTAAAATTTGAAAAATATAAGTTCCTTAGTTCCAAAATATAGTCAGGTAGGAGAGAGGACACAGAAATGTAGGTGGACAAAATTAAACCACTGTCATGGGTATCTGTCCACCACTGTCACCTTATTTTTGAAAAGCTGTAAGATTTTATTAAACATACACAATGAAATATAATCCTACGAAAGCTTCAGAATTGAATGTGGAAAACATCTCCTCTACTTTCTAAGATGTTTGGGATCATTCCGATGAAACTTTCTAACCAATAAAGTGGTAGTGACATTCGGTATTGCTAAATATCCTTCCCTTCTTCAACCTTCAATGGTACATTTCTTAGAACAGAAGCATTACAGTTATGTTGCTTCCCTGCCTAGGAAAAGACACTTTCTCCAAGGATCTCGGCATGTTTTACCCTAGAGAACCTGCCTTGTGCTAATCGTTTGTTTTCGGTAATTCTGAGCGAATGCAGATGTGGGGCATTTTCCTGAACTGTCTCCACCCAGCAGAGGTTATACATCCACCCAAGGTGCTAAAACACCTGACTTTGACCCACAGAACCTTGACAGCAATCGGCTCCAGCAAAATCTAAAGATCTGTACCTGATCTGAACTCTGTGGCTTGAGGGGCCCGATCCCCCACCGTAATGAAATTGGAACTTACCAACGAGAATCCAAGGCCATGACACCATGACGAGGTGTTTCCCCCACCTCAGCCATGTAAACACTGTGTCTAAACACGCACCCACGGAGGAAACTTACGGTCAGCTTCCACCCAGGACTAGCTGCAGAAGCCCAGCCCCTTCCTGACCCTGGCACTCCGATTCGAATTCCAGCCCCAAGCTCACTTCCCGCCAGCGGTCTAAGACGCCATTTCAAAGAAATCACTACATCCCGAAGTGGTGCTCCAATCTAAATATGCTAATGAAGTACAACAGTAACAAAGACGTACAAAATGTAAGACCAAATTTTTTAATATTAGAAGCAACAGATTTAAAGTTACATTTTAATAAATATAACAAGAAAAAACAATTATAAAAACTGTACATTTAACTGAAAGTGTACATATAGACAATTGATATAGAAAACTGCTATTTTAATCGTAACTTTCCCTATTCCGTGATGCGTATATGCATACTTTGACTGGACACCTTCAAGTTTTTAATGTGATAAGTGAGCTTGCTTCTTGCTCGTTAACTTGTCTAACCTAGGCTGGATTGATGACAGTGCTACTCTCAGGGGATTATGGATATTTAAACTGTTCCTGTGTTTTGTTTTAATAACACTCAAAGTAGAGAACCCAGTCTCACAGAGGGATGTTGAGGGGAACAGAAGGAGGGATTTTAAAGCAACCTCAGCAAGCTCAGGATACTCATTTTTAACTTTTATCCAAAATGAAGCAAGTGATGCTGTATTTTCAAAATTCATTTTCAATCCTTCATCAGTAGCCAGCTTCAACAAGTTATCCCGTAGAGTTACAGTTAAATTTAAATTATCTTTTGGTGAAAGAAATGGATTTTGGATCCATGAGTTTCCTACACGTGGATCTTCTTTTGATGGAAAATACAATTCAAAACAATCCAACAAATTTGTAAGATGTTCGCTGATAATTTTTCGCAGATGGGCAATGTCAAGGTCATTACCTACTTCATGGATAACTGTTGTTAAATTATGGAACATGTCATAACAATCTGTAGAAACTCTGTTTTTCCAAGCTTCTAACTTTTGTTTTTGTCCTTCAATCTTATCAGCCATTGAAAAACAGGTTGCATTCTTTCCTTGCATGGAAACATTAAGGTCATTAAAAATACTGAAGATATCAGACAAATAAGCAAGTCTGGCTGTCCAATTCACATCTCTGAAAAGCTGGGACCAAACTGGTTTCTTGCTCTGCAGAAATACTAAGAGTTCATTTCGTATTTCAAACATTCTTGATAGAACTTTTCCCCGAGATAACCACCGAACCTCAGCATGCAGTAACAGCTGCTTATGATCAGCTTCCATATTATCACATAATAAAGAGAACAGTCTTGAATTTAACGAGTTAGACTTGACATAATTCACAATTTTCACTGTGTCAGTAAGCACACTGTTTAGTTCTGCTGACACCTTTTCCATAGCCAGACTTTCTCGATGAATGAAGCAGTGTGTTATTTTGCATTCTGGTGCAAGCTCCTTAATCTGGGTAACCACTTCGGAATGCATTCCTGTCATGGAGGCTGCACCATCTGAACACAGTCCTACGCAAAACCTGAATTCCAGACCACACTTGCTCACAACGTAATTCTTCAGAGCTTCATACAGTTCTGAGCTAGTCGTGTTTGTTGGTAAAGAGGCTGAAAAGAAGAATTCTTCCTTTATATCATCACCGTGTTCAAACCGCACGTACACCAAAAGAACGATCATGTTAGCAGTGTCTCTGCATTCATCAAGTTGCAACGAAAAGTACTTCGCCTCTTTAATTTGCTCTATGAGTTGGTCTTCCATGTCGCTGGCCAGCTCCTGAATGCGTCGAGCCATGGTGTCATTGGAAAGCGGCACCTGAGCCACCTTCTCCGCTGCGGACTCACCCAGCATCTCCAGGCAGACTCCTCTGATGCAGTCTTTCACCAGCGTCTCCGCAATCGTGTACGGCGTTTTTGACTTGGCAACCGGGAGCGCCACTTTGTAGGAAGCCCGAAGAGCACTGATGTTTGTATGGGACACGCTGAACACCTGCTTTGGCCGGCTTCTTAATTCGCTACTCTTTCTCTCAAAGAACTCTTTCGGTTGTGAACTTATTTCTTTATGTTTTGAAAATAAATGCCGCTTAAGTTTTGATGGTTTCATCGCTTCATTAGCCAGTATATCTCCACAGATAATACACTGCGGTTTCAGCACTTCACCATCAATTACGGCTACAAACCCAAACTCGATATATGAGGGATCATACTTCCGAGTAAAACTTGTGTGAACTCTTCTGGTTTTCACCTGCTCTGGGCGACTTCCATCAGTACCATTTCTCTTACTACTCCTGCTGTATTCAGAAAAGGTATGTTTTTTCTTGACAAAAAAGTCCAGTGAAGCTTGTTTTGCCATCTGCAAATGAGGAATAAAAATAAATAATACAAATTTTACTTTCCTCCTTTTTCTGATAACAAACTACAAATTAAAAACTAGGCTTGATTAAAAACTCAGAAATGGTTTTAAAATTAAGTTATAGAGATAAAGGTTTACATTCTCCCGAGTTACAGCAGACAAAGTAGCCATCAAACACCACACGTCGTAACTGTGCCTGACTGGTGTGCAGCTTGCAGCACGGCAACTGGCCTTGAGAGGTTAGAGACGCCCAAACCAGCCACGTTCTATTCAAAAACACGAGTTCTCGAATCATATGCCTGGGTGCTACAACACTGTCCAATTGTCATAACTCCCGATTAGGGTACTCACCCCTTTGCGGACTAGTAGGAACAGTCTGCAGACCACCGGTTTCAATTGCATGTGTAACCTCCGTATTTCAAAACTCTAAACTCAACACACATTAACTCTACTTTATAAAACCTACTGATTTAAAACACATCTCTTTGGCCTTATCTTATGCCCTCCATTTAAATCTGAAAACTGAGCTTTTTCTCAACACAAACCCGTATCTCCAATCAGACTGATCATCTTCCCCTAAATACTTCTTCACTTGACCGAGATGCCCTTTCTTAGCTTACCTCCCCACCCAAACTCACATACAATTAAAACAAAGTAACATTAAGTTCAGCTTTTCCCACACTCATCCTCCTGGAGAAACACACCCTCACACACACCATCCTAGCTTTCTCACTTCCCCCAGGAAATGCCTGGTACCAGAAAGGAGTAAAAGATACTGTCATAACCCTAGACAACAAATAAAGCAGCATTCAAGGTTATAACTTCCAACCTGAAAAAAGGAGTGGGGGGGCGTTAAAAGTAATGGGCTTTTCTCTGGAGAAAACAGACCCAAGTTGGCCCAATGGTGCTTTAACATGTCCACCACACCAGAACATCCTCACCCATCACGAGCACAGTGACGTGTAACAAAGCTCTTCCCGGCTCTGCTCTGCAGCAGGTACTCAGACTCTTACCCAATCTCCTACTTTGTCTGATGAAAATGGTGTCTCTGACGGCTTCAGCATTTTGGAAGGCTGACCAGTCAAACTTCTTTGGATCTCATCACGTTTCCTTTTCACTGTCGTGGTCTCACAGCAGAGACTGCACGTTATTCTGTGATGACAGCCCTCAGTGTTACGTTGAGGGGGCACTCCACAGATCGCATGGACGTTCCCATCACATGACACACAACCATGAGCGCCTGAGCGTTCTTTCTCACAAACTACACAGGATACAACTTTTACTCTGTTTTCGGGAGGGTTCTTCATGGCCCCGGTAGGAGTAGAAAGATGCTCTTCAGTATCACTGCTATTCGTGCCAGTCTCGATGTTCTCTTCATAAGGTGCTCCCGGCGTACTTTCTAATTCTCTGTCGGCCTGTTCTAATTCGTTTTCTGGATTCAGGCTAGCAATAAGTTCTTCAGTTAACTGAGGATGACGCAGGCCTAGTTTAGCTTCAGAGCTAAATGTGCCTTCAAATGGAGTCTGCTGCATGCCTCGGTGATAGGGTTGATTTTGGGTCATCTGAATGAACCATAAAAATTCAGCCCAGTGCGATGAATGGTTAGTTTGCATCCAGGAGATAATCCTATTTTGGATATCCTCATGAGTTTGATTCATAGAACTTTGGCTTTGACAGGGCAGAGGCTTCCCATGGACAATTTTTAATTCTGGCCAAGTATTACTGAGTTCATGGACAATCTGGCTTGAAAATTCCCTCCCATTGTCTGATTGTAGGACACTGGGTGCTCCAATAATTGTAAAAATATCTAAAAGAGCATGTGCAACTTCCTTAGGCTTTTTAGATTTTAGTGACCGCAAAAAACTCAACTTTGTACGAAGGTCTTGATAATGCATAATAAATTTGTACTCCCCATCAGGATTCAATTGCATGTCTATAAGATCCACTTGGCATCTTGAATTCACTTCCTTCATTGGCTTTGATATTAGAACTTTCTTGAGTTTTGAATTTTTCTGTTGGCATAGTCTGCAGAGTGTCAAGTATAGCATTATAACTTCCTTCGTGATGTTCTTGTATTTTGCTTGTAACTCTTTTTCCATGCGGGTACGCCCACCATGTCCAATGCTGAGATGGGTATCATGCAGAATGTCAAATAACTCCTCGCTGTGTAAGTAATACCGTACTTTATCTGTTTCCCCATTTATAGCTTCAATCAGCTTCTCATTTCCTTGTACAAGGATCACATCAAATCTAGCTAAGCGACGGTAGTCAACGGATTCCTTTCTTGCCTTCGCTTTAGCCTCTTTCACTTCCCTTATTAACTGACAGTACTTTGCTTTAGAAAATATCTTGGTATTATTGCTTTTGTTTTCCAGTAACACTGCTAAGCTTCTGAAGAACTTCTCTCTCATCTTTTCTGGTTCAATTTCTGACTCATTAGTGTCTAAACTACTGGGGTTATCATCACCCATGCTTTGAGACATCATCGAAAGCCACAAAAATGACCCTAAAATATAAAGAAAAAAACAATTAATTTGAAATATATATATTGCCCAAGTAGCCACTAGAGTTTGGGGTAGAAGTAGAGGCTATGAGCACACAAGCTGGGAGGAATACAGTTTTGGTTAGGGAGTTCAGCCTTGGAGGAATAGAAGGTAAATGAAGAACCCCAGTCAGGAACAAAAAATTCTGATATAGTAAAGAGTAGCAAGCCAGGATGTGACTTTCCAGAGCAGTCTCTGGGATTAGCCTTAAAGTAAAGCACTGTTTTATATAAAACAAGAAGTAAATTGATGTTATTTATTAACTACAAAAGATAAATTTTTTTGGCTAGAAAAGCCTCAGCAATACAGTAATAGATTTTTAAAAAGATTTATTTATTCATCTGAAAGAGAGAGCGAGCAGGGGGAAGGTCAGAGGGAGAAGCAGACCCCCAGCTGAGCAGGGAGCCCAATGCGGGACTCAACCCCAGGACCCCGGGATCATGACCTTAGCCCAAGGCAGACGCTTCACCGACCAGGCGCCCCTCGTTTTCTTTAACAGAATTTCTAAGTAGAATTTCCAAGTGTTAAACATCATACTGACAAAAACTGGGGCAGAGGCTACAGAAAGGGGACCTACGGCTACACTGACAAACGATCACCACAGATGCACCTCTGATTTACCCACAGGTACTTAATTCCATTGCAAAATATCCATGGAAAACCATGGAACTACTGGCTGTATTCAACTTTTTCTTACATTACGTGGCTGCTGGATTCAATTCCTTTAACAGCATCACACGACACTGGCTGAGTTTTCCTTCAGCTACGTTCAGTAGGCTGCAACGGAATGAGGTTTGATAACTTCTCAGCGACCAGACCCTTCCGCTCTCAAATCTCATCCTCTTTCCAGACTAGATTATCCTCACCGTTATCCTGCAGTGGGTGTGGCTCCGGAGAGTCACATTCCATTCTGTCTTCCACGGGCTGGAGCTGGGCACCTAAGGGCTCCTTTGCGGTCTCCACAGGAGTCACTTCCTCCATAGGAATTTCCGGCCCATCTGTGCCCTGTGGGACCTGAGGACAAACAGGTACAGCTGGACATTAATATACACGATCACTGCACAAACCTCAGAACAGTCTTCTACTGAAATAGTACGTAAGAAGATAAAGTCTTCACTGAAATCTTAAGAGGAGTCCCATATGGAATAAGAAGAAATAAAAAATGCTGGGACTAATAAAGCCAGTCATGCAGCAGAAACTGTCTCCACTGGACAGATACTCATCCCTGTGGTTCCTATTTGGGGGAATAACAACAGGAACACATGAAAGGAATCCTCCCTAAACTGCGTTAATTAAAAGAAAATTGTTAAAGGGCGCCTGGGTGGCTCAGTTGGTTAAGCGACTGCCTTGGGCTCAGGTCATGATCCCGGAGTCCCGGGATCGAGTCCCACATCGGGCTCCCTGCTCAGCAGGGAGTCTGCTTCTCCCTCTGCCCCTCCCCCCTCTCATGTGCTCTCTCCCTCTCATTCTCTCTCTCAAATAAATAAAATCTTTTAAAAAAAAAAAGAAAATTGTTAAGTAGATTTCAGTGTGAGCAATTAAAAATAAATATCTGGGGTGAGGTTATGCAAATTATCTAAGAGTTACTCATGAGCTATTCAACGCAGAAAGGAATCTGACAGTTGTTTTAGAATAAATGTGGAAAACATCACCCCAGTGTTATGGACGGGGAAAGAAGCCGATCATTTTGGATGACTGTGCTGGGTAAAAAAGAAAACATTATCTTCTTACACTAATCATCTCATATATGGTTTATAATTAAGTTTCCCTAACTGTCCCCAAAATATACTTTATGATTTTTTTTTAACTTTGTGAAACAGTACTTATACATTGTTTTCGGTTATTATGTCTTTTGATTCTTTTAATCTAAAAGTTTCCTGCCTTTTTATGACATTCAGTTTTTGAAAACTCAGAGCCAGTTATGTTACAGAATATCCCACATTAGGGATTTGTCTTCCTCCTTCTTCACAGATGGACTCTGGTGAGGAATTTCTGGAAGAACACTACGCAAGTGCGGTGTCCTTACGGTGGTGCGTCCCAGGGCACACACTACCAAGTTATCTCATTACTGATAATGCCAAACTTGATCACACAGTTCAGGTAGCGACCTACCAGCTCTATCCATTCACGTTTCCCACTGTAATTAATAAGTCAGCTATGGGTAATAGTATGGAACTACATAAATAGCCTATTCCCCAATGGTTTTAGCATTCACTGATGATTCTGATCAATTTTTATACTGGGGGTTGCAAAATGGTGACTGCCTGCCTTTATAATTCCTTCTACATTGACTAGCTAGGAATTTTCTGTAAAGAGCTCTCTCTCGGGGTGCCTGGGTGGCTCAGTCGTTAAGCGTCTGCCTTCGGCTCAGGTCATGATCCCAGGGTCCTGGGATCGAGCCCCGCGTCGGGCTCCCTGCTCCACGGAAAGCCTGCTTCTCCCTCTCCCACTCCTGCTGCTTCTGTTCCCTCTCTCGCTGTGTCTCTCTGTCAAATAAATAAATAAAATCTTTAAAAAAAAAAAGAGCTCTCTCTCATTTGTGTGCACTGCATGGGGAGGACAGAGGGAGAGAGAGTCTTAAGCAGGCTCCATGCTCAGCACAGAGCCTGAGGTGAGCTCCACCTCACAACCCCGAGACCATGACCTGAGCCAAAATCAAGTCAGACGCTTAACCGACGGAGCCACCCGGGCGCCTCCTCTGTCTCTCATCTTGAATATCACTACAGACTTATTCTGTAATCCATTCCATCCTTACTCACCTCAATCTTAAACTGTCTCCCATTTAGCCCCAGCGTCCCTTTCATCAGGTTCCTGCATTCTTGGAACATGACCCCACTAGTGTTTTTAGCACATCTGTGCTTTCCAGAACAATAAACGCAAGGACCACACTGTACTTGCCCTGTCCCAGATCTAGTTTCAACCGTTTCCCCAAGAAGGCTTGATTCATTTTAGAGCAACAGTGTTGGAAACAAAGACTAAGTAGTAGGTGGGCTCATTGTTCATGGTGCGTCGTCCCCTCCAGGCCCTTTTAGGGATAGAGCTGGTAAACGTAATTCTAGATTATCATGAATTCCATTCCATTTCAATGCCATACCTCACCTTTCCATATTCCATTTTAACATATCTTTCTCCCACAGTGAAACAAACAAAACCCAGTTCAATACAATGTTATGTACCCATTTGCTCTAACCTACAATAAACACTCAAGTTTCAGAATTACAGTGCTGTGTGTTACAGAACACTCCCAACAACATACCTATAAAATCAATTATCTCTGTGGCTTTCTATGCCCAGACAGTACCCCACTAAGAGTGTATAGTCAGAACACCGTGTTCAAGTCACCTCAATTATTGTTTTGCTGTTACTGTAATTTCATGTACAGCTGAGTTCATCTGTTTGTGTTTAATCATTTTGAATTTAACATTGCTTTTTAAATACTTAAAACATTTACATGATATTAAAAAAATCAAAATATATACTCAGAGAAGTCTTGCTCATATTCTACTCCACCCCCACTCCCATAAGAAACCATTTTTGGGGACGCCTGGGTGGCTCAGTCGATTAAGCGTCTGCCTTCAGCTCAGGTCATGATCCCGGGGTCCTGGGATCGAGCCCGCACTGGGCTCCCTGCTCAGCGGGGACCCTGCTTCTCCTTCTGCCCGCTGCTCCCCCTGGCTGTGCATGTGCTCTCCCTCACAAATAAGTGAAAATTTTTAAAAAGAATAAAACAGAGCAAGGATGAAAGTTAATTTAAAAAAAAAAAGCCAGTTGTCATCTCCCTAACAACAGAAATTCTGACTTGTATTTATTTCATATACCTTACAGTGAAAAGAACGCAAATAAGAGGCTCGGACTCCCCGGCTGGAGGCTCTCGGAGTGGGCTCCGTACAGTGAAGAGGCCTGGCCACTTCACATCCCTGCCAAGCCTGCGTTCTTGCACAACAGCCTCGCGGAAGCCACACTGCAGTCAGACCAAACATTTCAACAGTCTGCCAAATATTCTTGAGGACAAAACAAAGAAAAAATCTGATCTATCAACACAGAAGAACCTGGTATGGAAACCTGATCAATCCATGCTCTGCATCTAACTTGCAAAATCCAACTGAAAATTTAGCTTATCCTTTGGTGGGCATTTACACACTTGGTTAATTCTGAAAATTTCCCTCACTAGGTCTTGGCTTTACAAAAATATTCCTCATTCATATGACATATAATCTAAAAATGTGCATACAGTCAAATACCCTAGCCAGCACGCAGGAGACATCATAATGGGATAAAAATCTTTAATACAATTTTTTAAGATTTATTTCAGAGAAAGAGAGAGAGAAAGCATGTGATCAGGGGGGAGGGGCAGAGGGAGAGGGAGAATCTCAAGCAGACTCCACACTCAGCACGGAGCCCACATGGGGCTCGATCTCACCACCCGGAGATCGAGTCAGCCCTCAACCAGCTGAGCCACCCAGGTGCCCCATAATTAACACAATTTTTAATTGGATTATATGCTTAGAAAGAAGTACTCAGCTCATAAGCATAGAGCTCGATGATTTATCACAAAGTGAACCACCCAGAACATGATCAGCATCTCAGAGGCTACTTGTGCCCTACTCTCTTCCCCAAAATTAATTACTACTCTGACATAGAGTCATGTTGCTTTTTGAACTTTATATAAGGAAAATCATACAACATGTATTTATTTTTGTCTGGCTTCTTTGCTCAACATTGTGTTTGTGAAGTTCATCCACACTGTTGAATGTAGTTGTTCCTTTATTTTCATTGTTGCACAATATCCAACAGTACAAATACACCATAATTACGTTCACCCATCCCACTTTTAATAGTCATTTCAGTTGTTTAGAGTTTCTGGTAATTATAATGCTGCTGCTCTCTGAAAGTGTTTCTTGTAGATACATACCTGGAAGTAGGTTTGTTGGATCACAGAGTATGCTTATGCATGGGAGGTATTTCCAAAGTGGTCAAAACGACTTATTCCTACCAGGATATAAGCACTCTAGTGGCTCAACATCCTTACCAAAATTTGGTCATGTCAGCACTTTTAATCCACACTGGTTGGAATAAAATGGTACCACATATTGTTTTAATTTGCAGTTTTCTGATTAGTAAGATTGAGTCATTGTTTTACAGTTTTATTGGCTAATTACCCTTTTTTTGTACAGTGCATGTTCAAATCTTTTGTTGATTTCTTTATTGGGGTATGTGTCCTTTTGCTTATTGGTTTGTAGTACATTATACATTCAGATATGAGATTTTTGTACGTAGTTTGGATCTGGCATAGGGAAAATATAAGTCTGGAAAATAGTGTTTGGAAGTGATGCTTTCATTGACGTCTGAGCTTGTGCTGAGATTTTCAATGCTAAGGTGTGACAAGCTAAGCAATGGAAAACAATTACTACGGCAAATTAAACAAGCCACGCATATTAAAAAAAAAACTTTTTATCCATGTTACTATAAAAGGTGGCATAAAATGAGCATAAAAGTCCATTATAATGCACATGTAAGTTTTTAATACTGCCCTAGAAATATTCATTGATCAATCTAGATGATAAAATTCCTAGTGAAGTTTGACACAACCCCAATTACCATAAAATACTGTTGATCTGCATGTCCTGATTTATTTTAGCTAATTGGCTAACTCCCCATATGTATATACTGAAAAGAAATGCTAGCTTAAGCCATCAAAAAAACCGAAATCTTGCCATTTGCAACAATGTGGATGGAACTAGAGGGTATTATATGATAAACGAAATAAGTCAATCAGAGAAAGACAAGTATCATATGATCTGATATGTGGAATTTAAGAAAACAAGGCAGAGGATCATAGGGGAAG